AGTTTGAAATATATTACATTATTTTTCTCATAAAAATCTGACCATTTAAACTTAACTCACTGACATAAATATCAAGGAAGGAAGGCTACGATGTTTAGATAATATAGATTATATGTAGGCGACAGCTTCAAAAAATTGTGGAAACGTAGATACTGGATTTTTTTTTTTTTTTTCCATGAACTTTTTGAACTTCCTTGTATATAATCAAAAGAAAAACAACCATTTTTGCAGAAATCCTTTTGCATTTTTTGTTTGTTTTTGGCAGACACTCTTAGTGGCATCTAACCGTGATAATTTTATGGGGTTTTCTAAGGCCTAAGGCAGTACCAGCAATCATGTTTTGTTGGACTAAAGCAACACCAGAAAACCCCACAGACCTATTGCCATGCAGTTGATACAAGGTCATGATAACATGTGCTACAGGGTAGAATTGCTTCCTGGGGTCTCCTTGGCTGTCATCTTTACAGAAGCAGCTCACCAGGGCTTTCTTCTGCTGTGCCACTGGGTGGTAAAATCAAACTGCCAGGCTTTAGTTAGTAAGCCAGCTACAAACCATCTGTACCACTCATGGATCTTTGCTGGCTGGTTGAAGTGGCTTTAAGTGGCTGAGTCATATTTGAGAATTGGTTTACTTCGTAGTTCAACCACAATGATGATCTCATTGAATTCTCACTTTCCCCTGCCCTGTTTATCCCATGTGATACTTTCTCACATTTGTGTGTCACTTGCTTTGTGTATGTTCTCTCAATTCTTCCAGCTGGAGAACTGTCTTAGGATAAAATCTTTCTAAAAACAACTTCAAAATTATGTTTCTGTAAATCTATTCACTTAGAAACCTAGGCTTTCTTTTAAAAAAATTTAGCCATACATTGTTAAAAATGAAGATCAATGTTGTTAGTACTTTTTATCTTTTAAGTCTGTAAGTACTTATATAGGTATTTCATTTAAATTATCATCTAATCTTTCTAACAGATCTTCCAGTGATAACTGTTATTATCTAAATTTTATCAAGTTTTCTTTTTTCCCCCCAGTATTAAAATGGCGTGAATAAGCCAATCAGAATGGTGTAGTAGTTTACTCAGGATAAGTGAGCAAGCTAGATTCAAATACAAATCTAATTCCAAAGCTTAAACTTTAGGTATTTGTGTAAATACTGTCAATGCTTTCTTAAAACCTTTTCACATTTCCCCAATTATAATAGTACAGAACCTTATTAAGGAGCTCTGTAGCATACTGGTTACGAATCGGGCTGCGAACCGCAAGGTCAGCAGTTCGAAACTACCAGCTGTTCCGCGGAGGAAAGATGAGGCTTTCTGCTCCTGTAAAGATTTACAGCTTCGGAAACCCTGTGCAGGGTCGCTATGGGTCAGAACCGACTCCACGGCACCTCACAACAACAGTAGCTCATTATAAAGGAATTAGAAGATACAGAAGCATTTTGATTTCTTTCATTCCAGTCTTTTGTACTTTATTTTGTAAAGTTGGAATCCTACATACTCAGTGTTTTTCTTTGCTGTTTTCATGTAGTATCATTATGAGCACTTTTATATAGTAGATATTTCTTGAAAATACACTTTTATTGACTGTGTGGTAATGTAATATCATGTGACTTGCTCTATTATTGAGCATTGATGCTGTTTCCAGGTTTTCCCACCGCAGAAGGAGACTGTTACACTGAGATTTATCCTTGTGTATAAGTCAGTGTCAGCATCTCCTGTGTAGACAGATTCTTAGAAGGATATCACCTGGACAAAGGGTAGGCTTTTTCTAGAGTCACAATATATGTTGTCGAATTGTCAAGCACACTTCTGAGGGATCACTTATATGGCTCTCAACCTGATTGACTCCCAATGTGTGTATAAGTGTAATCAATTTTCTGTGTGAGAATAATTTCAGCTGTAGTGCATTAATGAGAAATTAACTCTGGGTATGACTTTTCATAAAAATAAAATATTTAAAGTGCAAT